AAATTTTATTCTGAATTAACTTATGTTAATAAAAATTTAAAACTATAACTTTTTTTACTATACTATAATATTCCTTTGCTGCAAAAATTCTCAGAAAAAAATTATTAGTACGCGAGGTAATCAATTTTTAACCAGGCTCCTTTCCTTTGGGTTGGCTTTGTGAAATCACTTCAAGCTACTTGTTTTGATGTAATGAAAGGATGCATCGCATGGAACAATAGCAAAAGGTGATTTTTGACATGCCTTGCTGCGGAGGTCATCACAAAGAACATGCAATCCAGAGTAGTTTCTTCGAATACTGTTTCTGAAGAAGGAATCAGTTAAAAGAGACTGATGTCTGATATAATAATACAATACTACTATTTTCTATTACATGTTTAGAACAAGAAGGATATACCAGAAGACAGGAAAAAAAATATAAAACAAGGAAGAAATACCAACATATGAAACAGAAGATTCCAGAGCTAAACATGCTGATAGTGTCGATCATTTTTTAGTACGTATTAATCAGGCTCCCTTCCTTTGGGTTGGCTTTGTGAAATTGTTCTAAGCTATTTGTTTTGATATAATTAAAGGATGCATCACATGGAACAATAGCAAAGAGCGATTTTTGACATGCCTTGCTGCGGAGGTCATCACAAAGAACAGAAATCCAGAGTAATTTCTTCGAATACTGTTTCTGAGACTGATGTCTGATATAATGATACAATGCTACTACTTTTAATGAATATTTTTTTATTAATCAAATTTTTTATTACATGTTTAGAACAAGAAAAAAAATATAAATAAGGAAGAAATACTAAGATAAAAAAAAAAACGTATAATCCCTAAGGTTTGCTAATTATTAAAGAGGAATCAGCTATGTATCTTCTTACGAAAGGATCTTACTCATCTTTCTTACTCATCTTTTAGCTTTTTTTCATAAAAAAACAAAGAAAATATAAATCATAAAAATAATATTTCTAATAGCGAAACATTCTATACATATTCAGATACACAAATTATAGTTATGATAGTATTTCGCAGCAGATTCATTGAAGATGAGTGAAGAAGAACACTGTTATACTTTTCTTTATCCGATTATTCTCCGGTCAAAAACAATATAAATTTGCTTTAATCCGAGCCACTCTAGAAAAGGAGAGGCCAGATTTATCATCTATGATAAATAGCATATCAATACTAAATTCTGAATTCAAACCCATCGGGTGTACTCCATCACAACGAAAAAAAAAACTATATTAAGGTCTAGTTAAAGGGATAGAAATTGATTGACTATCTGGTGGTGTTATTTCTGGTATTGGAAAGGCATATTTCAGTATTTACCTCTTCTTTAGGAGTTTTATTAAAAACCATTGGGTTAAGAGTGACAGCTATAAAAATAGATCCTTACATGAATATCGATGCAGGGACCATGAGCCCTATCGAACATGGTTAGTTTTAATATTTATAAGGTTTTTTAATATCATATAAAATATTTTAATAACCAACTATTTTTTA